CTCTCTCTCTCTCTCTCTCTCTCTCTCTCTCTCTCTCTCTCTCTCTCTCTCTCTCTCTCTCTCTCTCTTCCTCTCTCTCCTTGCCTCTCTCTGTTTCTCTTTTTCTCTCTCCCCCCCTCTCTCGATATGGCTCTGCTCGCCCTTTTGTGACGGGTTGCGATAGGGGAGGTTGCAGTAAAATCGTTCATGAATTTTAAACAGGCACCTCTGAATCGAGCCACGATCATTTCTCATTTTTCTGCCGGCACGTCGGAGGCGCAAGAAGGACGAGCGTGTCCGAGCGCGAGAATCAGAGAGAAAAGGAGAGAAAGAGTGACGGTGACAGACAGTGCCGAGAACCGCTAGTGCGATTATATGATGAGTAATGTTTTTTAATTCCCCCACTTTCGGCTGGGGTTGGCCGGCGATTTTCGAGTGCAGCCACTCTAAAACACCCTTAATTGCCTGTTGGCTTTTTATAGTCGTCCGCTAGGAGCTACGGGGCCGGAAGTAACGAAGGACTCAAGGGGAGAGATGGGAAGAAAGAAGGAGAGAGGGGAAGAGTCATTGATTTATCGTTTCTGAGGTGCTCGAGGGGCTGCTTGATCTCGCTCTGATCAAACGAGAAAAGAGGAAGAAGGGTTGAAGAGTGGTGAAGAAAGTGTAACGATCGCTGCCATCGCGCCTAATGATCATGCAGCTCGCCAGATCGTGGCCGCGTTGGGAGGAATTCCCGTTCTTCCTTACGGCGACAAACTCCTGAGAATCGATCGCATCTCTCCAAATGACGCCGTTCCTACCATCATCGCCGGGCATCAAAGTGACGTATATCGCTTAGAAATCCAGGTAATCCGAGAGTCAATGGTCTCGCAAATTACAATCGCGGTGTTTAAGAATCGTAAATTAATCTTTTTCGCATTTCTCCTTATTTGATCGCGATATTTTGATATTCAATGATGATGAAGTGACAAACATTAAAAACTATACTTACATCGTCATTTCAATTTTGTTCTTTAGTGAGACAAATGTTTTGGAAGTTAAACCCAAAATTGAATTTCGTTTACTAAACATTTTTCAAGCGCGCAACGAGGTAAATTCGACGATTAGCGAGTCGAAAAGCGATAAACGCGACTCGCCGAAGACGAATATCAGAAACGTCCAGCTGTAACAGCCAGAAGCAAAAAATGGCACATCGGTAAGAAGAGGAGGGCGAGAAACTAGGGGGAGAGTTAATGCATTTATAATGGTGGCTGGGTCTGTTCGCTACTTTTGCGGTTACATGCCCGTGCGACACTAATGTTCTGGAGTCGCTAGGGCGCTTTGTGGTAATAATGGTGACAGCGAAACCGAGAAAAAGAGCGAGAGAGAAAGAGATACGTTAAGGAGAGAAAGGATAACATATTTTCAAATTATTATTCGCCTCAATGACTACGAGACACATGTTTCATAATACAATGCTCACCAGCTCGTCTGAAATTGCATTGATATTCAGAAAGATAGAATGATCGTGGCACACATGCTACGATTATTACATGGTCACCGATGTAATCGGGCTAACCTTTGAATTTTGAGATATGTAATAAGTTTCGTAAACTCTATTACAGTTTTCGCTCGGAAAACTGTCTTTTAATTTAACTCCTCATATTAAGTTAAAATATACAAAACCTAATTTAGAATTTAATTCTTTTAATTCTCTTAATTCATTATAACGTGAACATAATCTCCTTTTATTATCTGTAATATATTGTAAAAAAATGAAATATTTGACACTCATAATGCCGAGGACATCCTTATAAATTATAAAAATTAAATCTTTTGGAACGATTTAATCATAATGTTTGTAGTCAAAGTTCAATTTTTTTTTTTTAATTTAAGATCTTGA